GGATCCTCTCAGTGGGTGAAGGCTCTGATTGCAGCATTGGGTGATAAGGGTTCGAATCTCAGAAGGGACATGAGTTCCTTTGAGGTCTCAGATACGCCTTGCTGACAAGTGCCAATTAGCCCGAAGCCTACGTCTCAAGGCTTCTTGCTTATTGCCTCCAGTCATCTAATAACAGTTCACTCGGATAATTTAATCTTTGTTACATTCAAGATATCTCAGGTGTTGTTTACGGAACACGTGAATGAGTTTAGTTGTAGAATTTCATGTTCGAGGAAAGTGATTGTATTGATCCACCAACTATTTGCTTTTCGTGTTACTCACCTTGTAGTATCAGAAGTCAGGTTAATACTTAAGTCTTTTTAACACTGTGAAGTTGTCTTGTAATCTTCTAAACTAAAAATTATTGCTTTTTTGTTTTTTTACAGCTGATGGTCAGTCATCTGGAAGCTCTGATAGTTCACGAATGTCCATCTCTTCAACACGTCGTAATCAAAGAGATCGTCTTGGCAGTGTTATCAGTGAACAGTCCAGTCGATATAATGTCAATATGAATAGTACTCCAGAAGAGTTGTTGATAAATCAACATGTCTCGGGCATAAAACACCTGCCTGAGAGATCACAACAAATCGATCTTTCTAAGTGTACTGTGCATATACGTGGTTTATCACGACCTGAAGTATCACAATCAACTCGTCTTCCAGTGGGGACAATGACTTTATTGGGTAGTACTCCACTTATGTCCAGTGTTTCTGCTACTACCGCCACTACTATGAATGCTACTATATCACATACTAATCAAATTAATCATTTACCCTCATCAATGAGTAATTCTATTCCAATCAATAATAACTCTCTGACAAGTAGTAATTTTATTCCCGTATCGACAACAGCTGTACGTGATGTAGGCTATAAAAATAAAATATCAAATGAATTGAACAATTTGACTGGTCCACCTGTATTGACACAGTCTACCTTTACGAACAGTACCAATTCAATGCCACAGCTGTCACCACAGTTTATGTTCAATGTTATTACTGAAACTGTTATCAATGGTGTACGAAGACAAGTTGCTAGAGTGACACGGTGAGTATTCACTTCTTGTATGACTCAATAATATATATATGTTTAAATTCCTACCCTTATTGTCTTGTAGATCGACTAATCCATGTTTAAAGGTGACTGCTTGAGAATATTTTTGACTATTGATTCGCCTCCCATATTATTGTTCACTTTTGTCTCAATGTACTCCCAGTTCAAAAGTTCCTTCTAATCTGAAGAAATGTAATGGCATATAGTAGAATCAGTCTGTCTGATCTCAATGATACTTTGTGTGTCGCCCATCTCGGCTACAAAATACTTGAATTTCACCACATCTTTCTAAAGGACATATATACCGTTGTGATTTGCTGCTAAGGTGCTGTCACTTTAATTAACTCTTCCAAGTTGAAAATCCCTGACTGAAGAAAATTGTGACCAATCGAATGATGAAAAAGCATAAGTCATTGATTAACTCACTGAGTGAAGTTATCCATCAATGCGTACTTTGCGTCGACATGTGATTTTTTCGTTTCAGAAAAATTCAGTATATTATTTTTAGAATTATTTATTATTGCATGGAGGGTTTCATCATGAGCTGACATCAGTTTATTTATTATTATTATCTTCCAAGTTTACTAAAGCTGATGTTCACTACTGACTGGCTACAGGGTGAAGTTGCCTATAGTTCTAGTGAGAATTCGTGACCAGTGGGATCACCACGTCTGATATGAAGAGAAAATACTCGTCCCCTGACATTGGTTGGTGATGGAGCTAAAAATCGCGAATTGACAGAAGTTAGAGTTCATGGGCCATTGGATTCTGCCCCAGTGGCTGAATGTTCGATGAGCTCACCTCATAATCTGAAGCTCTTCGGTTCAATTCCCTGTGGAGTCATGTGCGTGTGCTGATGAAGAGTTCCGAATTAGGGAGAAACGACTTTCCATATCCCATGTTTTTCAACGGCTCTCTAACTGATATCAATCCGTGATTGAACTTGCAACCAATCGAATTCCCACGAAGTAATACTTGAAAATTATTATCTTTATTCAAACTGAATGTACCGGTTGAATCAAAGGGGGGATTGATCTTGACTTATGATTGACAGTTCATGGCATGTTACTAAACTGTCAAAATATACTAAAGTGTCAAAAGATTGATTACTGATGAAAGAATATTCTTTTCGATAACTGCATTATCAGATTCTACAGTTATATATCCATCCATAATAATGAAAGAATGATTGTTGTTTACAACGTTAGTGTTTTTTAAAGGTAACATCAATCATTTAAATCAGAATTCCGAAAGTTATTTGCGAATAGATTTTTAATGGATTATAGTCCAAAACATATATATGTATGTGGTATTATGCATAGTTGTGCGTATAATACTAAACTGAATATCAGTATTACATAGTAAATGATTATGAATGATAACGAATGTATAGCAATAAATTCTCATGAGTCATGTTCACATTTTAAATTCTATTCATACTGATTATAAACTTCAAATGAATTAATGATCATGTTAAGGATGGGGGGAGGATTAAATTTGGGGTAGATGGTTATGTGCATTGTATGTGTGTCAGTGTGTAAGTTAACAACTAAGTTTTAATAAGAAAACCAAAGGTTAGTTAATGCAAGTGTAATGACGAGGGGCACAGGATGGAGGGCCATATAAAAAAATGCCAACTTAATAAAGTATTTATGAATTTGCAGACTCCACAGCAGACCAGGGCAGTAGTAGTGGTTGGACCTGTTTCTTCTGTACATGGAGCACCGGTTGTTTTAGGCGAATTGGAATAGCCTCTGCTGTTTGGAGTGTTCGGTACGTGGATGTTTTCCGCAAATTATTTGGTACCGGAAGGATAATAGAAAAGGATTCTTCAGTGCTGGCTTTGAGGCCAGTTTGGACCAGATGGTCTAATGTCTAACTGTTGATGGTTTTCACTACACCTTTAGCCACACTAGTAGATGTTTCCAAGCACGGAAAATGAAGTTCCTAGAGCAACGGCCAATATAACTCGTTTCACAAGCACAGTTGTGTATAACTGTGTATACATAATTATAGAACTTGATGATGAAGCTATCGAGGAGAATATTCTTTGTTCAGTAATCAGCCTTTTGAAATTTCTAATGAACATCTTTAATCAATTAAAATGAATGTGTTCAAATTTCAATCCATTCAAAACCCTGTTTTTGAATGACTGGCTATATGCTTATTTTGTCAGCCATAGTTCAGTGAATGAAAGTCTTTTCCAACGAATTAATAACTAAAAACGATAAAGCCACACTTGATTCATGGAGTTGTTGTATCTTATTAATTCTATCATCATTATTATTGTTTATTTCACTGAATAATCTTTTCTCGTCTCTTGTGTTTAGAAAATATTCAGAATTCTATGTTCTTGAGCAAAAGTTGACTGAATTTCATGGTTCATTTATAACAAAACAATTACCACGGCGTCAGTTGACACCGCGTTCAATGGAGTTTCTTGAAAGTAAATGTGAAGTCTTTGAAAGCTATCTACAGGTACGTAGTCACGTTTTCTTATGCTGTCTCATTAGAAATTTTATTTTTCATTTAACACACACACACACACCACATAGTAATCTTCCTACTGTCTGCTTTTTTTCTTATATCAATGTCTATCCGCCTGATAATGATTAGCTGTTTTAAAGTTATGCTTTTATACTTGCAGTGATTGGTGGTGACATCAGTACTCTGAATTGCATGTTGCCCTTAGTCTGATATTGATACTTAATCCACTCATGTTTGTGAGATCATCACCTGTAAATTTTTATCATAGCCGATATGAAGTATTGTCATCTGATCTAATGGTTGGTAGCACCTAGGATAGATGTCAATATTGAAGAATCCCCACTTCTCAATTAGATCGTCATCTCTGGCTCTACTCTAATATATATATATATATATATATATATATATATATATATATATATATATATATATATATATAGTTCATAATCATATCAATTGTAATCACAGGACTTTGAAACTTGAGTTTTATAGCTTTCTTTGTTTTCTCCTATTTGTCGTAGGGGTAGTAAAATTTTCCAGATATCGGGGACAGGTGATGAATCATTCCTATTACATGTATTTGCAGTGGTTTCGATAAACAAAGCTTCTGTTATCAATCTCTCCCCATACCCTGTGACTTTAGATTTTAAAACTGTCATCCTATCCCATCCTATTGTATGGTTGTGTGTAACTGCATGTAGTGCTATAGCTGAACTATTCTCTAGATTTCTTATCTTATTCGGATCAACCAATCTAGATTTTGCTAAGTTTTTATTTTCAGCTAGTCTGACTGCCCCTGTTCTACTAGTTTGACCTATGTATTTGACCTGACAGTCATTGCAGGGTATTAGATAAACTAAATTGTTTTGTTTTAAAGGCTCCAGTGGATAGATCCTTTAACCGACAAAGCTTGTTATTAATTGAGTTTGTGGGTTTGAATGCCGTTTTTATTCCTGCCTTGTTAAGAATTCTGCGTAAGGCTTCCGAGGTTCCTTCCTTGTATGGAATTACTACTGATGATTTAGATTCCTTATTATTGGTGTCTTCATTAATATTATTATTATCACTATTATTATTATCATCATTGTTATTGTTATTATCACTATCGCTACTATCATTATTTATTTTATTTTTACATTTCCTTACATATTTCCTGACTAATTTATCCGCGTAATTATAAAATTTCAAGGCTTCTTTTATGTGTATCAGTTCCTGTTTTAGATTTTCCTTGGTACTACATAGTTTTTGTGCTCTGTCATTTAAACATTTCACCAATCCTATTTTTACTGACATAGGATGGGATGATCGGAAGTCCAAATATCTGTCTGTAGAAATGGTGACAATAAGTGGATTTTTATAATGCATAATTTTGAAAAAATGAACAGTAATTAAGGAATAAGCGTGAGCTCAAGTTGATTACGTTACAGATCATTAAAGAAAATAAAACGATTTGGACAATGGTAACTTATAATTAAAAATGAAGTAGTCATAAAATCCCGATTAATTTTCTCTGTTAATTATGACTGCTTGCCTTCACATGCTGATATTGATTAATTATTGTCAACATACATATCGCCACTTGATTGGTAAAATGTTGCGAATTTTATTTTTTAAAAAGCTGCCATATATCTTAGAGTAGAATGGATGTGTCAGTTGACCTTTATTTTATATGATAAGCAGTTGGTAACACTTCCATAAGATATTAGAACTTATTAGCGTAAAGTAAAATATTTGGCTGATTAATTCAACGTTCCGCTTTTCAACAAGGTAGTATGAAAAAGCTGTTTGTAAAAAAAAGAACAAGCTAAACATGGTATCTGTCCTAGTGTTCATTGTTAGTGTATTAGTCCATTAAATCTGAAACTTAGCGAGACGTCCAAACAATTGATGTTAATCTACTAATAAGCAACTAGTGAAGTATTCTTTTCTTTATTCTTCAGCATTATAGTACATGAGGGGTTTCAAAGCACGGTAGATTCAACATATGAGCTTGCTTATGAAATTCTCTGTTTGATTTCTAACAGAATCTGTTTCGCCATTTTCAACTGTTTCATACTGAATAAAATTAGAAGTGGTACTTGTAGGTGCATACCTTGTTTATGTGATTGTCACGGATGAGCGATGTTCAAGCATACTCCTAAAATGAACGCGGCATTTCTGATGCAATGAGCCATATGTACCAGTGTAACGGTAGAAGACTAAGGACTTATTCAAAGGTTGTTTTTTAGTAAATTAGGTATCTCTATATAACCAAATTATGTACACCTTATCTTCAACGCACCATTTCCACAGATCTTCTGTATTGTGCTACTTCTCGCCTTCATATTGCGTTTATTTGTGCTCCTTTCATTTCTCCCATGTATCTCCACAATGGGGATTTATTTGCTTCCTCTGACATCAAATATATTTCCTTGCTATTCGATGTTTTCATGCCAATGAACATCTCTTTATATATATACTACTGGCAAATCTTGTCAGTAGCACACGCCACACCAGCAAGAAACCAAGAAGATGAAATTTTATGTTTGACTCTGAAGTCTGATGAGACGTGTTTATTAAAACTGGTGAATTTAGTAGCAATGCTCTAACATTACTGGTGATGGATTGGAGAATGGTTTTTGAGGAGAAAAAGTAGCCATTTTTGTTCTTTTACTAATAAATAAAGCAATAGAAATGTATTATTGATATAAAGATAAAACTTGGGCACTGTGGTAAAGTATAATTCCATTATGGATAAAATTCTATTTCGATGAAATCACACAGTGTTATGTAGTAGTATTTACTGATGATCACGTTTTGAGCACAATATATGATTGCTCACAATCATATCAAGGTACTCACATAGCTTTCTTGCTTCATTTATATAGATGAGTAAAAATTGACGAGACTTTTAAATAAAATCAATAAAAATAAAATAAATAAATAAACAAATAAAATCAATATCAATAAAATAAAATGGGAAATAAGACGACCACTGTTAGTCAATAAGATATTTTTATGGTAAAATAAATAACCCATTAGAATGTTATAATGTGAATTGAAATATATGTTAAGATTATTTATTATCCGCTGATTTGACTAGTAATAATATCTTCCATGCCTCTGGCATTTGTGTTGAGTCACTTCTATTGCATATGTTGGATGTAGACTCGATGAACCAGGATTGAGTAATCAGTCTCTCTCTCCACCTCATCAATTTCTACGCATGTATATACACGAAGCAAGAAAGTTATGTATCTTGATATGATTATGAACAGTAATAAATTGTGCTCGGAACTTTTTTTTTTATTCATGCACGTTCCCAGTGGAACATAGGGCTTCAAGCTAGAGGCTTGAAGTTTCGGTAGCAGTGGTGTTTATTTTTTTTACGAGATGAGGTTGCTAGCCTTATGCCCAACCTACCTTCTTAACCAGTTTTATTAGTGGCTTAGAGAGGCGGGGTATCGAACCCCGTACGATTTGTGTGGTTGGCGAGCATTCTACCGCTGTGCCACCGACGCAGAAACTCGCTCGAAACGTGATCATCAGTAAATATTACTGTATAACACTGTGTGATTTTATCAAAATAAAATTTTATCTTTAATAGGACAATCAAAATGTACTTTATTTTCTCTTTTAATTAAAATCAAAACGCTTTATTCAAATATTGAATTGCAAAACTATCCTCTTTCACCTTGTTGTTAATATGAAGTTATATATGAAGTCAGGAGAGATTTATTAATTCATTTCTGATTATTCATTAGATAATGACCTTTTATAAAAATTTAGGGTCATCTATTGAATATATTTTTGTATCATTTGTTTGCCCTTCTTCTTCTCATTTCTTTTGTTTGTCGTTTTATTCTTGATGAAAATATTCATTTCAGTGGATTTTTTGTTGTATTTTCAGATTCAATATTATTTTATGTCCCATTGCACTTTTAGTGGGTTGTTTTTTTTCACACACTGTTTTCAATCATCTCTTCTTTATTTATTGTGATCTTCATCTTAACTCTTGCAGTGTCATCAGTCTGCCACGATAATCTTTACAACCGTATCAATCAGTTTATGTTTCTATATCGGTTGTTCGTTAAACCAGTCACCCTCGTCTTCCATTCTTTCTGTATTTCCATTGTATAATAATAATAATAAAGCTTTATTTCAGACAATGTATGAACACACAGTACAGGCATTTTCAGCGTATTTAGTTCCAGAATCCTTCCTCTTCAGACAGGATTAACATATAAGGCAATAATCTGACGTATATCATTTGATGTACAGTTGCTGTGGAAGTAGAGAGGACCAATTTTTTAACTACTTACTTCAGGAACATCACAGCGTCCAGTTGGGAACTTATTAGATACGGGCGTGAGTTTATGTAGGCATTTTGATAAAGAAAGGTACATGGAATTTCCAATTTAAAATGATATCATTCTATTTCACAGGTTCTCGTCAGCTGCAGACTACCTGAAATTACAATGGCTATATAGGTGATAATAACACACTTTAATGTTTGAGTGGTAGTAGAGAAGAAATACTATAAAATTGACGCATCCAAAATGAAAGCATTACAATTTTTAGTTTAAGTTTTCATCATCAATTTATACGCTTCTAAAGTTTGAAAAGAGGGGGAAGGGGTAAGACAGAAAACAGAAAAGATTAATTAACAGAATAGCGTTAGCTCGTAGGTTCACATAGTAACTCAAAAAGCAAAAGCGGTTACAGTTTATGAGATTAAGATTTGTTCAGTGAGTTGAGATCACTGAATTAGATGACTAATTAATGTAATCACAATCAAAATTCAGTTACCAAGGGAGTGAGAGGTTAATCGCACTCTCTTTCTGTACGCATAGGTCTGGTTTAAATCGTTTGATTGAGATCGTCCTTCCAATGTACTTGCTCCCGCAAGTGCACCTAAATTCATAAACGCAGTTGGAGGTGACGTCTGCAGGATATTTATCCAGTTTTGACTGGCTTATAGAAGAAGTGGTGCTGTATAATGTTTTGAGTTTAGCTGCAGGGAAGTTTCTTATATTATAACAACCCCAGAGACTTTATCAGATCTAAATATGACAAAGGTCTAAATATGAACAGAGCTGATTACAGACATAAAACGGTGAAAATTCTAAACGACACAGAAAAATTCCAAGTAGACAACAAAAAAGATGCCACAACGTCATTTGAAAATAAAGTAAATAAATGTCTCAAAGAACTTCTAATGAAGAAACTAATCAACAGCGAAACACGCAATAAACTGAAGCCAAAAGGTGGACGCTCGCCGTCTATGTACAGCCTACCGAAAATTCATAAAGCAAATGTGCCTTTAAGACCAATCCTGTCAATGATTGACTCACCATGTCACAAGCTTGCTCGATGGTTAGCTGATTCTATAGAGCCAATTCGAATTAAATTTGCAACCCATAGCCTGAAGGATAGCTATCAATTTTCCAAGGAAGTTGACAATATTGACATATCAGACAAACTCATGGTATCGTATGACGTAACCTCCTTGTTTACAAACGTACCACTGATGGAAACAATTGATATCATTTGTAAACAAACGGATCGACTACCATTACCGGAAACAGAGATGAAGCAACTACTGCTGCTTTGCACGAAAGATATGCGATTCAAATTCAACAATCAACTTTACCGACAAATTGATGGGGTCGCCTCTGGGACCTATTCTGGTTGATATCTTCATGGGCTACCTTGAACAGACACAACTGAGTTCTGCTATCAATGGAACAACCTACTATCGCCGATATGTTGATGACACATTTGTTGTTTGCGACGACATGGATCACGCATCGGCATTATATGATCGCCTAAATGAGACACATCCAAACATCAAATTCACCATGGAATATGAACATAATAATGAGTTCAATTTCCTCGATCTAAATGTAGAAAGAAGAAACGAAGGCACGATCGAAAAGTCTATCTATGGAAAAGAAACCTGGACTGGGCAACATCTTCACTATGGCAGCTTTTGTCCCATAAACTATAAACGTGGATTAGTGAGGACTTTGTGCGACAGAGCCAAGAAGCTTTGTTCACCAAACAAGGTCGAAGAAGAATTAGATTTCGTCGAGAAATGCCTCCAACTGCGTTTATGAATTTAGGTGCACTTGCGGGAGCAAGTACATTGGAAGGACGATCTCAATCAAACGATTTAAACCAGACCTATGCGTACAGAAAGAGAGTGCGATTAACCTCTCACTCCCTTGGTAACTGAATTTTGATTGTGATTACATTAATTAGTCATCTAATTCAGTGATCTCAACTCACTGAACAAATCTTAATCTCATAAACTGTAACCGCTTTTGCTTTTTGAGTTACTATGTGAACCTACGAGCTAACGCTATTCTGTTAATTAATCTTTTCTGTTTTCTGTCTTACCCCTCCCCCCTCTTTTCAAACTTTAGAAGCGTATAAATTGATGATGAAAACTTAAACTAAAAATTGTAATGCTTTCATTTTGGATGCGTCAATTTTATAGTATTTCTTCTCTACTACCACTCAAACATTAAAGTGTGTTATTATCACCTATATAGCCATTGTAATTTCAGGTAGTCTGCAGCTGACGAGAACCTGTGAAATAGAATGATATCATTTTAAATTGGAAATTCCATGTACCTTTCTTTTTCGAAATTTATCAGGGAAACTGGACGTATGATTTCCGTGTGAGGATCATTTGTTATATATGCTTGATTGATAGATGGCGGTTCTGCTAGCTCAGTAATTCAAAACTGGCTGCTGTGTTGAACCCTCACTGTTTTTTGCCAAATTATTTGAGTAACAAAGAGAAGTGCGTATGATGACAAAATTGAAATTACCACACAATGGTTACTCGCATAATTCTAGTAAATTTTGTGATATCGGATAAGTTTTTCGAATTTGGTTACACGGGCTACTACATAGCAGATCCGTTTTATGAAGTGGCGCCACCTACTTTGTCCTCTGGGTTTTGTCACGTTTCAAGAATAATTGCGACAAATACTCTGGTAGGATTTCATGAAATTCCAGAACTATACGTTTAACGTTTGAACTTACTGTCTCCCTTAATCCATTACATTTCGCAGATATCAGTATCAAGTAACATCTCCTGATAAAAGTATAGCAAATGTAACGCAGTTCAAGAATTTAACGCCACCAATAAAGTGTTACTTCAGGAAAAACCTTTGCATGCTGAATTTTATTTAAAAAGCATATAAAAGGTATAACTTGTTATTAAACCACTGTAGCAACTGATTACGAGGTTACAATTAGCGGGGATATACAATAAAGCCATTCCAGTCACACAGTATTTTCTTACTACGATTTTTTTAAGTATTACATCTCCGAACACTGAAAATTCATTCACTTGTCAACTGTTGAAATTTTTTTCTCTTTATTATGGCAAACAGAGAGAATGTGTAAGGTTTATCTAAAACTTAGCGTTTTCTACTCACTGAAGATATTACTCCAAAGTGTTTAGCCGTTAAGGTAAAAGTAGGTTAGTTGTGTGTTATTTCATGACTTCACTCTCTTATAAATGCTTTCTTAGGTTGTTAATCAATATATTCTATTCAACTTACTGACACGTGATTTAAAAGCATTGAGGTTCAGTACTAACAAAATTTGAGTTGCAGTTAAATTCGTAGTATATCAGCCTGTCTTATGAGTTGTATCACGTGTGTGTGTGTTTGTGAGCCGGTTGATGTACACCAAGTCTTATATTTACTTCAATCGGTATTGTAAATTTTGTTTTTACATCATATGGACTCCTAGCTCATTAAGAATTATATATGACAATGTACTGTTCATTATAATAGTAAAATTTGAATAAATATAATCACAGGAACAAGTGTTTGTGTGTTTGTGTAAACAAATGGAAATCAATGTGCTTGCACAGTGATATAATGTATATACATATACACTGTAGGTACTCCTTCTCTTGTATCCTGATAATTAACTATATATATGTGCCACTTTTTGTCTGTTATAAATTAAAGGGACAAAAATGAGCCATTATTAAAATCATGCTAGCTAAAAACTTGCATCAGTGAAGTGCCATACGCAATTATTTTATTTGTCTGGTTCGAATAGTACTCAGTCTGCCTATTAAGAAAAAAAAGCGTCTAATCGTTTAGTCTGTTGTAAGTAAAAAATAAATGTATTATGTAGGCATTATAGGAAACCTTCAAACACTACTATTCAATAACTTCCTTGTAATGCACATATTCATGTTGCTCGTCTACATTAAAGTCACATAATTGAGCCTCATCAGGAACAGATGATAGACGGAAACTGCGTTTAAATTGCGAGTTTGCATCGATCGTAGTTGTGTTGTTGCTTGTGCAAAAATGTTAATTATTTTTTCATATGAGTTGCATCGGATGGAGGGTAATCACAAGAGTGTTGATTAGAATCTTACCAAAACGTGTCAAAAGGATCAGGGAATAAATTATCTTCTGAAATAAAACGCGTAAATAATCCTTTGGTGAGAGACAGTTGTCAAATCTCATTCTCATCGAGTAGAATTTATTTATTGACATACCGTCTTAGTTTTAAGTTATAAATAATTTAACAGTTTGGTGGTACAATAGCTATCACCATTGATTGCTGTCACTGCAAACCATAAGAACAACTGTCTTACCCGTATCCAGCTAATACTGCAAAAGTCCCCACCTACCTCTTCTGGGAGAGAGTTGATCTCAAAGCCATCAGCTGTTGCGGCAAGTTGTTCACTATCCTAAACTGCATAACTCACAGAAGTCCTGTTTAAAACTTTGTACCGCTCCAAGACGGTTAAAAAATTGCAATTGATTGTTAGATGTATTGTAGATAATAAAATGTTTATCAAGTGTGTTGGTTTGCAGGTATTTGATCGATTACAGGTTTGATCACCAGATGACATCAGTTAGAAAACCATTGGAAAACCAAAGGGGTACTGGACAGCTGTTTCATCTTAATTTGGGAATCTTTAGCAGTACACCCCAACTAGGTTCAAATCCAGGACCTTTTGGCTGCAAGGTGGAGCTGGTAGACTATTCAGCCACTGGAAACTGATCCAATCGCAAATGAATTACAAATTCTGCCAATTTGTGGTATATAGCGAAACTGCAAATCAGTGTCATCGGCAAGTAGCTGTTCTCTTATCTGACTTATTGGGTTCCACTGTTCTCAGTTTTTCAACAGAATTCCACATGACTTCCTACATAGAAATAGTCGCTAGTTAGCGTCAATTTAATTTTCAAGTCTTGGCTTGCAGGGAATTGGAATGAGTTGTTTGCTGATGAATAACGAAGTAGTAAAGTATGTCTATTCCTACAACGGAAAATCACTCACTTTATCTTTATATATGGCATATATATATATATATTCTAACTTATTTTCACAAAATAATAATTAGTTTATCTCTATTTGTCTTTCTTTAAATCTTTTTTAGTATTTAGTTGCACAACCATTTCTACGAAAAAGTAAACTTCTCTATAGTTTTCTCACCTCCAATGAACCATTCAATACAAATTTATTTGATTTGAATTTGGGACGTTTTGTTAAATCTGTACCATTGAAGTTAACTAAAGAGGTGAGTAGATAAATTTATTGTGCTTTAATATATTCAGTGTACATTTCGTCAATAACCGACAGTGAAATCCACACTGAATTAAATCCGCATCCCCACAAAATACCTAAAATCTAAGTACCAATCTCCTGTTCATTGATCGCTGCTGCATAGATATCCTGGAGCTGTAATGAGAAGTCGTGGTCAGTAGGGTCCACCATGTCTAGATGAAGTGGATGATGCTCATTGTGAAGGGATTGGTTGAGGGTAGCACAATACCACTAATCGATAGAGGTAAGAATTCAAAGGTCGTTGGAATCCTATCCGAGTGGTTGAATGTTCAACGAGCTTGGCCTCGTAACCTGTAAATTCTGGGTTTGACCCTCCTAGTGCGGTCGTCGGGATGCACATCAGTGAAGAGTTGTAAACTACGACGAGACCAACTGTCCAATGGTCCCTGGTTTGTGTGTTCGTGACGAAGTTTACACAGAAATTAGTCCGTATCCCTACAAAGTAAAATGCTCGTAATCTAAATATCGATGTATTTTTATTTGATCTGAAAAGAACATCACTACTGTTTATTACCGGTTATTATTTTTATTAATGAAGTTATTTAATACAATTTATTTGTTTTCCATCGATTTTATACAGAATAATAAAGAGACAGTAATTTTTAACCTTATGATTAATGATTATGTTTAGCCTTACTTATCTAATGATGAACAGATAATTTGTTTATTAGCAATAACATTCAGAAAGTCTGAATGCAAATTTACTCCAGTTGTAATCTGTGTTTAATTTTTATTAGTAAAGAATGCAAATTTCGTTTTCATAATCATGTAAATAGTGTGGCAATAAAGGTTATTTAAGGTGGTATATTAAAATATTTGTGAACAAGCTAATGCTATCAAGTATTCATGCGGTTCAAATTAAGAAAGGAAGAAAATGCTTATAGGCTAATTGCTTTCTTGATTAGCATTTACGGTATGAAGAAGATCACATACTGTGTGATCTGAATAATTTGGTTTCCATAGGAAACTGTGGTGAAAATTTCATCCCTCGAACTGTGTACATTGTTATTATTCCCTTGGGCTCCAAGTGGAACATAGGGCTTCAGCAGCACATCTCCACTTTGTCTTGTTTCCTGCCGTCCTCTTTATCTGACCTCACGATTGCCCATAGCCTCTCTTCCCATCCCCAAACAATCTCCTCCATGTCACCCTCAGACGTCCCAATTGTCGTTTCCCATTCAGGTCCTACTCAAGAGATGGCCTGGTGCGCGGTGTCCTTTGACGATCTCCTCCTCGTATTCCCAATCAATCTCCATTTCCTTCTTCATATTTGTTGAGCGATAGGTTCTTGGCTGGTTTGTTCCCGTGGTTTCTTGTAGCTAATTCTTGATGGCCATTTGATCTTCAATATACAGCCAGGGAAGTTAGCTGTCGGTAAAAGTGTGCAGTAGGCTGCTGGAAATGCTTTTCGTGACGCACTAGCCAAGTTTGTGACCCATATAGAAGAGGTGACTTACTTGACATTGGTGTTGAATATCCGAATGTTGTTCTTTATTCTGTGGAGTGTAGAAGATTTCCAAATGGATTTCAGGTTGATAAAGGTGTATCTTGCCCTTCTTCATCCGTCCCGCCTGTAGTTGAAACGATGCTTGCTGGATAATTGAAGGAAGCAACTTCTGTTAAATCTCTCCTTGTGATAGTGATCGGTGCTGTTTGTTGTTATTGTTTGGTTGGTTATCTTCAACACCTCCGTCTTCTCTTAGTTCACTTGAAGTTCTGTCTTTGCTGCCATCCTCTTCAGTCAGTTTGTTGGTTTTCGCCTGCAGTTCTTCGAGTTTGTGTGAAACTAAACATAAATCACCCACACGCAAAATCCAGATCTTCTAGGTTGTTCTCATCGGTGGTCCAGCGTACTCCAGTCTCCTTGCTTCCCACAGTCTGATGCATAATCCAGTCCTTCACAATTAAGAATATCATCGGTGATAATAGACACCCCTGTCTTACTCCTGTATGCACTTCGAACGTCTCGCTGAGTTTCCCGTTGTGGATCACCGAACACGTGTCATTGTCGTATAGCTTTTGAATGAGGTTGATAAAGACTTGAGATACGCCGTAGTGTTGAATCAGTTTTTAAATTACTTCTCGCTGTCAAAGACATTTTCGAAGTCTATGAAGTTAGGGTAGAGGTTTGACTGCCATTCTCGATGACGATGCGTACATTGCTTACTGCTAACTAATTTGCAAATTGTGAATCTCGTTTATGCTGTGACCAGTTCTCCTAAATAGCTTGCCAGAGATCGGATGATTTGAATTGATTTGTTTCTTTGAGCTGAGTCAAACTGCCTACACCGATGATGAGCTCAGCCCCAAAGTTGCGAAATGGCCTTCCAATGTTTAGATCACCCACATCTGACTAGCAAGCATTGCTGGTTGATAAGAGTGATATACAACTAGCCATCTCCCTCAATCAGTAGCATATAGTTTTGTGAATGAATAGTTGTGAGAAAGAGGATAGGAAGGCATTAAAACAGAAGAGCATTCAAACTTTTATAACTGAGACAGTGAGATTGAAAAGAGGGGAATCTTCTGTTTTCATCTTGTGGAATGTCTAAATCTTACTCTGTCACATTCGGACTTGTACTTTTTGGAAGGCAGTAATTTACACTTCAATCTCATTCAAATTTCCACCCTGTGTTCTAGCGTATAACGCTTTTGAGATCGTAGTAAAAACGTGACTCACTGGAATAAGCATTCGACTCTCAGCCAATGGATGGCTAGTTCGAATCCCACTCCACCTACTTCAGCCTCGACATCTAGGTAGTGTTACCAACCCTTGCACAATAACTGTGTAGCTAATAGTCTGGAACATGAAAGACCTGGATTTAGAATTACTAATTGTTGTGAATAACTTTTTTGAGGATATTTGGTTCACTTTAGATTAATCATAAGCAAAGAAAATAATTGTCGATTGGTATTGTCGACCAACGGACTACACTTGTAAAAATGTAATCAGTCTGTAAGTTTTGGATGATATCCCCTTTTTTTAAATGATGGTAATTGGTAGTCAAATTGAGAAAGCATGCCTCATCCAATCGGCGCTCATCAGTTGGCTGTACATGCATTCCATTTGAGTGAGAGTCTCCTCACTTAGACTCGAACTCAGCCCCCATTGTCTCAAAACGCTAATTTGTTACCGTCTAATCTACTTGAGCGTTAATAGTCACCTCTTGTGCAACCAAATAACATTATATTAAGGGCGTCGTTGAAGTGACATGTCAAAAGACAGACTGAACATTTCAGTTTGATAGCACCAATCAAAGGGGCAATTCATATTCGTAATTTCAGACTCCTCTTTCGATAAGCTTTATCGAAGTAATATATATATATATATATATATATATATAAGAAATTATATCCAGTGAAGAAATTGAATCAATACCGTGAATACATGAAATAATTAATAGTAGTAGTATATAATGCAATTAAAATGTTTATGTTTATACTCATAATGAAATGTCAAGTGGCAAAACAATTAATGTCACATGCAGAATAATTCATAGGATTTATACATGTTGGGAAGGGGTTTATAATTATAGGGTGAGTAGGCTAATATAAAACATTACACAACATAATGTGATATTCGACAACATAGATTTCAACATTGTAAAAAAAATTTTGGATTTAGAATGATAAGTGGGACAGCCGGAAACAATTCAGAGTGAGAATAAAAATAATAATAACAATCGTAGTAATGAGGGAAAGGCACATAGATTAACTAAATAAGCAAAATGAAAAATAAGTAAATGTCTGCGGCCAAGGCAGAAGTAAGGATTGTACACACTTCTTTTGTACACGAAGGTCTGGCTTAAATTCATGAATGACCAAGACTTCCGTTGTCTTTAGAAGTCTGTAACGAAGAAAACGCGGCAAGTTAGCATCAATCCGTTAGATGATCTTAAAATCATGGGCAGAGTTGGTAAAGTCGCAGGAATTGAATGAAGCTTCTCACACCCTCTCTTTCTCCGTTGTGAAACTATTCTGGAATATGTCTTAGTATCAGTGTGAAAGTGTCCTGTGGCTGCAGCCAATGTACCTTGCCACACAAGAACAGATGAACTGATAGATTCACATGGAGGCGGCCATACGAGGGAGCTCATCTTCTACAAATATGGAGAACAACCTATGTCATTTGTAATTCTGCACTATCAGTAGTCCGACATGACTTCTTGCTGACCAGTGAGGTATACCATATCACCGAGAAGTGGATACTCAGCCAAGGCATTGGTTGAGGCCAGCGCTACATCATGAGATTCAGAGGTTACTGAATTCTAACCCATTTGACTGGGATAGTCAACAGACATGGTCTCGTAACGTGGAATTTCTGTGTTCGACCCCTCGTGGGGTCGCGAGGGTGCACAATTCTGAGGAGTCCTAAAATAGAACTAAACAACTGTCCACTGCCCCCTGGTTTCCAATGATTTCTCTGACTGATGTTGGATTTCATCCAAAATCCTCAAATTATATAATCTGAAAGATATAACTGTCCTAACTTTGTCGACCAGAATCTTCATGAACAACTGACTGATATTTCTTCTTGTGGTTCTCATTTTGACATGCAATATTCTATTTATAACAGGATTATTATTTTTATGTGCATTCCAATGCATAGCTTTCACCACACACGCAATGATTGAGTTATTATGTCACAAAACCAGAAACGGAGTGAGAAAGAGAGAGATAGAGAGATCAACTAACTGCTACAAACCAACGACAGGCATTCGGAACAGAGTAGTTTTGTAGGAAAATCGATCAGTAAAGATAGACGTCTATAAAATGTTTTACCTATAATTTTACAGAAATTCAGTTTGTTCACTCCGCAATTTTTTTTACTTCATAAAAATTAGCATAGCTGTAAATGTTATTTCTGTCTTTTCAGTCTTTTGGGATTAAACAGTAGTCTGCATTAAACTATCGATTAGAATTTCTTTAAGTAAATGAACATTTTTATAAGAT